GCCAGCTTTAGCTCTGAGGCCTCGCTGCTGAAAACATCGATACAATCGTTTCGGTCCGGCTGGATTTCAGTCCGGCTGGTTTCTGGTGTTTTGTTTAGCTTCTTATTTGCAACATAGTATATAGTTGCTTAGAGTTGCAGCTGAGAGGCCGGCAAGTCAGGCGGGGAACGTTGGAGTCTGCAGCAAGCAAGCCTCATGCTCGCTTCAGTGCCTGGCTGCCTACCGCCATCTTGGCTGACAGTTAATTTGCATATACTCACTGATTAGCCAATGAAAAGGGTAGCGGTCGTACGCTAATTACTATGTTTCTCTTTTATTAGTGTAGATGTCCTATAGCTAGGGAGAGGAAGCCAGGTGTTACTACATGACGTCATTACCCAGTGCCCACAGCCACCATTACCAGGCTGGGCTGAGCATGGGGCACATTTTGCAGCATGGGGTCCTGGCAGCATTAGCTACAATTTGGTGGGGTTTCACTCCAGGATGGTGGCAGGGCCTGTATTACACTCGGGAGAAGCCAAGTGTTGCTTTGTCAGTGCCAGCTCTGCAGTGCCGTTTCTTTATAAATGGCCAGTGCGCATCATGGCAGCTCTTGGGTTGAGTGTCTGTCCCCTGGTGGTCAGTGTTCATCATAGCGACTGGTCAGAAGGACACTTAGAATATTAGCATTTCATATATATAGATTGCAAGTGTGTGTCATCTATACCAGCACATTGGTCGGTCAGAAGGTTGCACGTACGTACATTTGGTCACTTAATCTTTTATACGAAATTTATGCACTGGTGGGGAATCCCTCAGCTTGGCCTGAACCCTCTTGGATTGGGCCTAAGCCAGCAGTGAGACATCCTTCTCACAGTCAGGGGCTCTCACAGTCTGGGACTCCTCTCTCCTAACCACAAAACTGCAGTGGAGGCGGGAGAGGCTCCCACCATCACTGCTGCACTCACCAGACGTGAGCCCAGCCGAGCAGCACTCCTCCTGTGGGAGCACACTAACCACCAGGGGGCAGCTCCTGCATTGAGGGTCTGCCCCCTGGTGGTCAGTGCACATCATAGAGACCAGTCATTCTGTCGGTCATTCCGCCATTCGGTCGATTTGCTTATTAAGGTTTTATTATATAGGATATTAGTTTCAGGTGTATAATATCTGAATTTTGTTTTCAGCTTTTGTTACACAGAGCAGAGAACCATACACCTTGTGATAGGAACTCACCTGAAGAATTGTAAAGTAATAAAATTCTTTTTTTTGTAAACTGCTAATAAGCACATGTTAATTTGTTTGTCCCTAATAGAAATAAAGAGCTAATCTTTCAGAAAAAGGATGAATTGTAGACTATAGATTTGTCACTCACATGAATCCAAAAGTTCATTCTTTTACAATGGGTAAGACATGAACTATGGGTCAAAAGGGGATGTCTAGGCATCAATCTAGAAGAACAGGAATTAGGAAGGATATATGCTAAGAAATATTACCATAAGTTTCTTTTGGAACACTTGGTTGTCATCCTTGAAGGAATGCTCCATGAAGATTGCAATGGCTTCCTTCTCACAGGCTGCATGCAGGTCCAGCAGCTCCTGCAGCGTGTCTGTGGGGAAGCTCACTCTCTGGGCCATCTGCTCGCTGTAGTGGTCGGCTGCCTTCTGCATGGCTGCTGAGTTCTCACGTTCAGCCAGAGTTGTCACTGCATTTTCCAAACAAGGCACTGCTCCACTATTGATGGCATCCACATAGGCCTTTGCAAGAGACCCCAACCCTGAATGACATATGATATTTAGGGAATGGACAGGAAGTTCTTTCTCACTGTTTCACAAATTTTAGAGGTCAGCATTCTAAAAATAACAAAAAATTTATTGAAATGAAGTTTTGTTTTCCCTTTCTTTTTTTCCTCCCCATCTTCCTCTTTGTCCTCATTTTTGTCCCCTCATCCTTTACTTCTCTAAATCTACTTCCTTATAATAACATCATGGTGTCTCCTATTCACTCTCACTTTTATGGTTGTGAAATTGAACACATGATAATACAAACCTAATTATTTCAACCAATATGTTCAAGGGTTTCCTATAACCATTTTCCAATTGAAATAACATTAAAGAGAGTTTATTTTACAGGTAGTTAATGTAGATAATTTGTGGGCAAAATTTTTCAATGAAAATTTGAGACACAATTAAAAAATCATCATGAATTTCATGATTGTGACTCAAATATTAAATCAAGCAAGAGCCCATCTCAGCCCCAGTCACTGTATGTCTGCCTAGGTGGTATATCCATGAATCTAGCCCTGCACATAAGGCTATAGTTAAAATTTCTTCTCAAACTCTAATGAGCTTCGAAGATTTATATTCTGTTATATATGTCATCCAAACTGGTGTAAATTTATGAGATATCTTGTGTATCTTCATCAAGACACACTCATCTCATTGGTCCTATCATTATGCACATTTCTCTCTTTAACAGCAGCTTGCACTTATGTCATTAGTGTGTTAGTCTCATGAGGTACATTAGGCTTCAATAATTCTCCAAATAGGGAAACTTCAGTGGAAAAAAATACATGTGTATGTGTGGCATCAATCTCTGCTTTTCCACATCACATAGAGAGGGAAACAAAACTGCTGAAAAACCTCGAGTACAATCACACACATTGAACTGCAGAGAAACATGTTATAACAAAGGAGACTCACAATTTCCAGTGACAATGATTCCCTCTCTGAGGGTCTTGGTTTTTGCTTCTGTGAAGATATAGTTACAGAAATTTTTGGATTGCTCCTGGAAACTGCACTCTAGTTGGTTTTCTGACACCTCCTCCATATGGAGTAATAACTTTTTGTCATTTGTAGGCCGGTCAAAGGTAAAGCACTTTTGCTTTGGAAAGAACTTCTTGATATACTCTCTAGGCATGTTGGACTTCTGGATTTGGGGATCCTCGCCTGTAGAGAAGAAAAAAGAGCAGTGATTGGTGAGACAGTCTTTAGGCAAGGACATTGATGATTTTCATTTCAAAGGGTCTTTGCATCACTGCAACTTTGGTGTTTGCATACCTCCATTTATTTACTCATGCAAATCAATCTAATGCTAATCTCACTAAAACTTAGAATTTTTTTTATTTTTTTTGTCCAGAACCAAGAATAAAAGCAGTACTTCTGAGAAAGAAGAGGAGGTATTCATTCCATGTGAAGGAACTTATGATTTTCCCCTGGTGACCAATGCTTGAATATTTATTAGATATTTTTGAGTGATAGATTAATCCCCAAAATTATCAAAAATACATTTGATATTATAGTCCTAATGTCAGAAATATAATATGGGTTCTAAAATAAAGACAAATGTTTCTTGGTAGATATATGAAAATTTATGATATTGTTAGGAAAAATACCATGTGGAGGACAGACAATCCATGTGATTTTAAACCCCTGTAAATCAAATCTGGAGGTCAGAGATTGCCATATACAATTTATATTATAGTCCACTGGTCAGAAATATAATGTGAGTTCTAAAGTAAGAATCAAATGTTAGACCTCTACCACCCAGACCATTCTCTGATACCTGAAACCAACTTCAAGGCATTCTCCAGGTACTCATCTTCAGTGATATTACGTCCATCTAACTTCAGCTCCAGCATGAAATCCCGTACAACCCAAACAAAGTCTGGAAAGAAACTCCTAAACTCGGCTGAGTCATCTACTTCACCAGAGCTGGGAGAGGACTTTGTCCTGATTAGCTTGGTTAGTTCAGTCACATAGCTGGGATCTTAGCTAAGGAATGAGAAGTGCTCTCCACCAAAATTTCCAGATCTCACATGGAAATAATTGTTATGAACATTCCTATTCACCCTCTGTCCCTTTTTCTCCTCAAACATGGTTATAACATGACGAACAAATAACAAAAATAATAACAAAATAGTCTCAATTTCATTCCCATAGACTCCATGACACATGGAGGTTGGGTTCCTGGAAGGATACTGCAGCTGCTCCAGGGCCTGGTGGTTGATGGTGCTCATGCTGTTGTAGACAAACATGCTGCTAAGAAGCACGGCCAGGGCAAAGATCCATGAGTCATTTTTTGAGTCACCCTAGAAAGTGCACAAAAGGGGACTGAAGTGTCTATAATTTACTCACTGGTTCAGTTGTTCATGCACTAGGTCAGTTTTACTATAACTGAACAGTAGGGTAAATAACATACACTGTGAAGACAGTGGTAAATTCAAACCTCATTTTTGGATATTCACATGGACTCCTCTCAAGGTCTGAGTTCTTGAGCAATTAAAAGAAGTGAATGACACTGTACATGTGCCAAATGTTTAAAACAGTTCTCAGAACATAGAAGTATGCAATGACAAGTGGTAATGATTTCTTTGCAACTTTCTCTTGACCATGAACTTACTAATGACACAAATGCTACTCAATTAAATTCACCAACTTCTCATTGTGCATTTAAAATATGCAGTTAGTTTTGTGGATGAAAAGTTTCATAAGGCAATCTCTGATCTCCAGCGATGACTTGTTGGAGGTGCAAATGTACATGGAAACATGTAAATGCATACAAGGCGACCGACTCTGCCAGGAGTGCAACTCAATCTTATCTAATAAAGAGGGAATATGCAAATTGACCATCATGCCATAACCGTCAAGATGGATGTGCCCACAGTGGAGGCCAAGTTCCGATAACGAACCTTAACAAGCAATCAGCAGGGACCTGAGGCTGTGTCCCCCGCCTGGTGGGGCTTGACAGGGCACTTCAGGCTGCGTCCCCAGCCCCAGCACTAGGACCTCAAGGCTTTCCCCCTGGCCCTGGCTGGGGGACCTCAGGCAGCACACGCTGCCCTGTCACCAGGCCAGGGGTCCTGAAGGTGCACTGGGGGACCTGAGGCTCTGCCCCCCACCTGGCAGTTCTTGACAAGGGTGGGGCCGGCCATGTCTTGATCTCACCCAATGGGTGTGGGGCTGACTGGGTCTGGGTCTCGCGTGATTTTGAGGTGCCTCGGGTATGCGGGGACTGGATTCTGGGTCCTGCAGCATGCCCCAGACTCTGACAGGAGGAAGATTTTTATATACATTTAACTAATTTTCTTTGATATCTGGCACTTCTATTATAGAGAAAGGGCAAATAACAATATTAAAATATTTCCTCTAATTAATTCCCTTTTAATGTGGATGAATTTTGTGCACCAGGCCACTAGTGTTATAACATAAAAGGCAAAGGAGGAATGCTAAACACAGAAAAATTACTCTATGATTACAAGACAAGAAGGAATTATGTCTGAATGAGATTCAATCCCATTAGGTGAAGGTACCAGGACTTTTCTTTAAAGAATGGACAGAATGTGGAATTGTGGAGAGAAAGAGACCATGTAGAAGCCAATCAGAATTGTTAGAAAGTGTGTTCATTCAAAGGTACTACCTGTTATTTCATTTGATTGAAGTGGTGGTTATGTATGTTGTAGGAATAGATGATGAGGCTGAACATAACATTCAGGGTAAATCATGAGTGACTATGAAATTGAATTGGATATTGCTAAAAACACTAGAGTTGTAAGGACAGCAAGTATTTTTGTTGCTATCAGTTGACAGTTATGTTTTGGCTCCTTTACAAATGTAATTAGCTAAAAACAAGAAGATTTATGTAAACCACAATCTGTTAGCAATCAGTAGACCATCTTGGGCTTATGCTGATGTGATTATTGAGTACTTTAAACATGAATTATGCTAAGTGAAATAAGCCATTCAGAGAAAGAAAAGTATCATATAATTTCACTCTCATGTGAAATATAATGAAACAACAAATAACATAGAGGCAGGCTCATAGATAGAGAGCAGCCTGACAATTTTTGGAGTTGGATGTGGGGTTAGGGGCTGAAGCTAGAGGTATTGAGAAAAAAAAAAGGAAGACTTCATGTACAGAACAGTGTGGTGACTGCTAGGGGTGGGGGGTGGGAGAAGTTGGTGGAGGGTAAAGGAGAGATAAATGGTGATGGACAGAGATTTGATTTTGGGTGGTAAATACACAATATAATGTACAGATAATGTGTTGTATAATTTGGCTCCTGAAACCTGTATAATTCTGTTAACCAGTGTCACCCCAATAAATTCAATAAAAAAATCAATGTTCAAATTCAGAATTTAATTCCTGCCACTTCTCTTTTTGTAGTAAATGAAGCCAAAGATCCACTGCTGCAACCTTAACTTTAGACTCTGGCTAATACAAATAAGGGCACAGATTGACCACAACTAATACAGTAAATACAGATTACCTAAAAATATCTCATTTACAATGCTTGTGTTTTGGGTCTCTAGCTTCTGAATTTATAGAAATCAGGGAGGAATTCATCTCTAAAGCTCAGATACTTGGAATAAAATGTTTTATTAATGTGACAAGTGTTTTTGGAGATTACATATGTTATTCTACTGAAACCCCATTTTTATGTTACCTACACTCAAGACCATAAACCTCACACACCTTAAATATTGGAGTGCATAGATCTCATAATTATAACTTCTTCCAGGATGTTTTCTTATCCTGAATCCTGAATAAATATGTCACTCCTTGTATCCATGGTACACTATATTGATAACACTGCTTATTTCTTATCTTCCAACTAGGCTCTGGGCCTTTTCCTCAGTTGTGCATATCTGTAGTACTTAACACAAAATCCTAGAATTTAGATGCCCAATAAGTATTTGTTGTATTGTAACTTTCAACCAAGTATAAAAATAAGAAGTTATAAGCCTAATAAAGAAAATATTGAATTTTCAAGAAACATAATTAAACCTCATTATTCTTAATTAGACTTGTAGTTTACAGAAATAGGTCATAGAAGGTGAATTAAGGTGGCAAATTAAAATGTAAGTGGATTATCATGAACAAAGATACCTTTTCCACATCGCCCAGACCCTCAGTGTCCAGAAGGACCAGAGTATTGTTGGGCTTCAAGGGGTGTGGTACACACCACATCCAGATGCCCTTGGTTTCAGACCTCACTGTGGAGCCCAAAGAGAAACCTGCAAAGGAAGAGGAGAAAGCATTATAAAGTAACAGCAGATAGTCCAGGCTTCTCATAGATTACATTGGTTAAAACTATGGGAATGTGAGTGCCAGGGTGGGTGAAGTTTGCTTTCATTTCAGCAAGGACAGCCTATCCAACCTTTATCCATGTTATAGACCTTCTCAAAAAACACTTTGTATTTCCTATTCACTCCATACTATCAATGGCTTGATATATGTCACATTACAGAATTAATATAACCTCTATTGACCTTTATATTTTTTTGACACTAAAGAGCTCCCTTGTCCTTCAGATTCTGGGAGATTTCCACCAGTGGGAGGCACCAGCATGAGACTAGAAGTCAGGCATATGTTCCCTTGCTTACCCCTTAGTGAGCCACAGTGTCCCAGTGCCTCAGTTCCTCTATGGTGGCTCCATCCCAAAGTGCTGGTCTTTGCCACATTCTGGTTTGACTTTTTGCTTGTCTATTCATGATATAGGAGTGACTATAGTTACCTGGCCATTGCTACTGCCACCCTGGGTGCTTCCTCATCTCTAATTAGTTCTCTGTGACCTGCTTATACACTTGTATGAATCCCTCTATTAAGCACTCTTTAGTTACCCTTTGACAGGTTCCTTTATGTCCTGCCAGGAAATGGGTTGATAATCATCTTTCTTGAGTTTTTCCCGCATTTTTCTCATTTCTTTTCATTTATACAAGGAAATGAGGAGGGTTTTTTTCACTGTGTCAGGTGGAGATGGAAGTGAAGGCAGAAAAGACCTGTGAAACGTAGTTGCCCCTCTTTAAAAGACTTATTAGTAAACCTACTGGTGGGCAGCATGTGAGGGATATGCCCAAGAACCTGTATGTGATATATCTTGTCCAACAGTTCAACATTGTTAACATCTGCCATAGGCCAATGTTTCCTTCAATGGGCACTAGAAATGGACATGATGGAAGGTGTAGGGGAGGTTGGTTCAGCTTGGTTCAGGCCATTCTATTTCTACACCCAGTGAGTTTTCCACAGAGAGGGTACAAAACCTGAGATGGCCTGCATTCTTCTACATTGTGATAGAATTTGATTGCATGCTTATTAATACAGAGTAATCTGAACTCCCAGTTCTCCCAGTGAGAAAAGGTGGGTGTAATTGGAGATCATCATTCTTAGTTATGAGTTAAAAATTCCTCAAAGAAAGTTATCAACAAGGGGAGAGCTTAGAGATCTGGTCTTGCTCCTGTATCTTGATTGGACACGAAACCTTTTTTATTATTTTTCTGTTGTATGATTTGGGTGGGAGAGTAAAAATTCAGATTTTGTTGTTTTTCCATTTACAGTTTACTTTCAACATTATTTTTTATGAGGTTTAGTTTTGCAGCATAGTGGTTAGACAATCGTATACTTTACAAAGTGTTCCCACTGACATTACAAGGACCCATTTGTCAATATACATAGTTATTACAATATTATTGACTATAACTATGTGTGTTAAAATATTTTGAGGGTTGGGACTTCCGCAGGCAATGAAACATCAACTCATTATTGCCTGGTGTTATCTTGAGTAGAATTAAAAGGATGGTGTTGAAATTCTCAACAGACATCTCTCTCTCAGGGTTCTCAAAACTTTTAATCCATACAAAAAGACTATCAATTAATTTAAGGCAGGCAAGGAAAAGTGTTCACCCTGATGGGTGACCCAGAATTTATCTACAACAAAGATCAAGAGAAAATGTTTTGCTGGAAGCAAATTGAAAAATTATGAAGCAAAAAGGAAAAAGTAAGAAAAGGGAGAGAAGGAGTGAGACAGAAAGAAAGAGACATAGTGACAATGTCTCTACAACAAAGAGAGATATTTCTAGAAATATTTGGAGTTCAATGTAATGAGGTTTATGCCATAACTAGTGGCCCAGTGCATGAAATTTGTGCACATTAAAAGGGAATTAGTGAGAGGAAATATTTTAACATTGCTATTTGCCCTTTCTCTATAATAGAAGTGTCAGAAATGAAAGAAAATTAGTAAAATGTATATGAAAATCTTCCTCCTGTCAGAGTCTGGGGTGTGCTGCATTACCCAGAGTCAAGTTCCTGCCCACCTTTGTGAGCCATTAAATCACATGAGACCCAGACCTGGTCAGATCCACCCCCATTGGGTGAGATACAGACTCAGTCGGCCCCAACCCCGTCAAGCCGTGCCAGGTGGGGGTATGGGCAGCCTCAGGTCCCCTGGCATAGCACCGGTTGGGGGGGCGCAGCCTCAGGACCCTGTCATGCCCCTCCGGGTGGGGGGTGTGGTCTGAGGTCCCCCATCAAGCACTGCCAGGCAGGTGGTGCAGCATCAGGTCCCTGGCCTGAGGCAAAGGGGGCAGCCTGTGGTCCCCCAGCCCAGCACCAGGGTGGAGGGCGTACCTAGAGGTCCTTCAAAAAGCCAGGCTAGGCGGGGAGCGTGGCCTAAGGTTCCCTGGCCAAGTGCCAGGGGGCATGGCTTCAGGTTCCCACTCAAGCCCTACTGGGTGGGGGGCACAGCCTGAGGTCCCCCACCCCAGCTCGGCACCATGAAGCCTCAGGTCCCTGCTGATCACTCGTTAAAGGAACCCTGTATCTGCTGTGGACATAACCATCTTGGGTTATGGGAATCCCGCCTCCACTGTGGGTGCAGCCATCTTGTGATGGTGTGAGGGTTAATTTGCATATTATCTCTTTATTATATAAGATGGTGCTGAGCTAGTGAGACACAAAGGAAGACATTGGAGAATAAAAATTGTATGTGATTTTCATAGAGAGAAATGAGCTACAGGACATAGGCAGATTGCTCTAAAATCAGTAAAAATAAAAAATGAGAAATTAATAGAAAAGAAAAATGACATCAAGAAATAGAAAATACAAAAAGAAAATGAATATGTGAGAGATGCTCAAACTTATTTTTAATGAGGCAAATAATATGCAGCTATACAGTCACCAGATCATCAAATTTTAAAAGTCATTTACCAAAGTTTTATGAGGATGCGGAAAATTCTCAATTACTGCTAATAAAAATATACAGTATAATGCATATAAAGTTTGAAAGCTGTTAAAAATATCTAGAAAGGCTGACCACATATATACTTCATGACCCAGCAATTTTATTTCTGGGTCTGTCACACAAGGTAGCTTGTGTACATGTGCACCAGGATATACAGATAAGAAGTTTCATGTCAGCATCACTCATAAAAGTAAAAACTGAGAAACAAAAACAATGTCATCAACAACAAATGGATAAATAAATGATGGTATCTTCTCTCAATAGCATACTATAAAATAGCGAAAATAAATTATAGATACATATGACAAATTAGGTAAAACAAATTGCTTGTTGAGCAAAAGAAGCAAGATTCCCAAGCATACCGGAATGGACTTCCTTTTATATAATATTCAAGCTATTCTTACAAATGCATACACAGCTTGTAAAACCACTTTTAAAAGGAAAAGGGAAAGCATGCAGCATGAAAATAAAGACATTGGTGAGCTCTAGTGAGGTGTCAGAGGGTACATCTAGGGATTTTGGGTGCTGGTAATGTTTTATTTCTTAATATGGACAGTGATTACACAGGTGATCACTTCATATTTATTAACTTTGTATATATGTATGTTTTGTGCACTCTTCTGTATTATAGTTCACATATTAGAAAAGACTCGATAAAGAAAAGAGGGTATAATTTAGCTAAATTTTACTCAAAAATGAAGCAAAAATTGGATGGTAGACGCATTGAGAGATAAGATATATAGAATATACTGTTGTTCATTTGTTCCTTCCATCATTTTTTAAAAATAGGGACATGTTGAATAATATCTGTATACTATTTTGAAAAGCCCCTAAAGTTTAGGGCATAAAGTGATGGGAGAGAAAGGAAGGGAATAATTGCTGGAGCTGAGCTCCTCAGCAGGAAGAGTGGATGGGATCAAGAAAAATGTGTGGATCATTGGATAAAGTTGGGAACCCCCTGCTTACTGGCTCAAAGAGTGAGGGTTTTTGGAACAATGGGGTTTAAGATAGTTATTTCATCATGACAGATAGAACTTTTCTTCAGTGGTAGTAGTTAGTCTCTTTTTTTAAGCTGACCATGAAGGAGGTGTAATGAGTCTGTGTTATCAGTATCTCCAAGCAAATGCCCACTGCCCCAGAACAACACTCACCATGGTTCTGTCCTGCCAGGCAGTTCATCAGGAAGGATTTTCCTGTCCAATACAGACCTGCGATGGCCACCACCACCACAGGCTGAGAGATCTTGTCTAGAATCTCCAGTGCTGTTGGATTTACTGTCAGCTGATTATTCTGATTTTCCACCATACAGATGGGGTCCATCATGGTGTATCCAGAGGCCATGTTGAGCTGTAACCCAAAGAAACAATTTTGTACAACACAAGATCCAGAAGTCATATCTAATGGTTATACAAGTCACATGCATGTGAACTTTCTTGCCCGTAGAACATATAAATCAGTTTCCTGCATTTTGTATGCTTCTAAAACTTAAGTATTTAGCCAAATGTGTCAAACCCTGGCACAGATTCCTTATGTACATTATCATATTGGTCTTTAAATAAACCCTAATACAACCTTGCCCATGTGATGCATAAAAGGAATAGAATGAGCAAAACAAAACACTGATGATGGAGCCTTGAGAACATTAACATATTGGGGGTAATTAGAGGCAGAATGGGACATGCAGGAGATAGTAGTGACCAGAGAAGTTCCGTGGACTTCCAGAATGTTTTGGTTTGTCGTTAACTGCATACATTCTCTGAGCACCTACCATGTGCTGGGCACTATTCTATGTGCTCAGTATAAAGTAGTGAACAAAATGGATACCAATTCCTGCCTCATGGAGCTCTATTCTAGTGGGAGGAGGCAGACAATACAGAAAGCAAATAAGCAAATACATATATGTACATAAGATGATGGAAAGTGCTCAGGAGAAAATAAGCAGGAACTGGGATGGACAGAGTGGGGGCTGAATTTAAATAGAGGGTGGTCAGAATAGGCCTCTAAGAAAAAGACTAATAAATGTTCTCTGTGACCTTGAGGATGACAAATGTAGTGAGTCCTGGGAACTGTAGCAGTTGTAGGAGGGAAGACTTTGAGAGGAAGAAGACAAAGAATGAGGCTCACTCTTAAAACACCATGGACAGATATTTATAGAACCCAGATACAGTTATGAATGCAGGAATTCACTTATTTAAACTAGAATAAAAAGAAATTTTTGTTTCTGGGCTGACAGGAAAGACAGGCTATAGCCAGGTCAATTTGGGGTGTGCCTAGAGCTGCCAGAGTCCCACAGCTGGGAGAGGTCCTACTTTAGTGTATTCATCACAGTGGGTGTTTCATGCAATTAAGGGACAGAAAGCAGTCAAAGTGATTTGACTGTCCCTTTACTTCCTCAAAGATAATCCTAAACAACATTCATGTGTTCCATGCTTTCCTAGCTGTGTGCATTGGAAAGAGAAATATCTCTGTCTGTTTCTTCTTCCATAAAATGGCTACTCTAAAAATAACAATCTCTTGGTGATTAAGATCCTTAGAAATTTTAAATATGTGATAAAATTTATAATGCTCTTAAAATCATGGGTTGCATTCTGAATCCTCTGTAAGTATTGGTTGAAACTTGAGTATTTAAGAGGGCATGGAGTTTAAGTTCTAAACGAAGGTGAAGATTTGCCTTTGGACTGAACAGTGACATCTCTTGATCCAGTTGTGAGCATGTGGAGGACACATCCCGTGAGTAGGACTCAGGCAGGACAGGAGCAGCAGTAACAGCTGAAAGGGAGGACACTGAGGGGAAGGGAGGACACTGAGGGGGCAGGGGTGAGTCCTGTGGGAGGAACCCAGAGCAGTCCTGGGATGTCTGAGCACAGATTCTAGAGTGGCTACCAGGCTTTAAATCACTTCCTGTCAATGAGACCTTGAAAAAGGAACTTAACTCTCTGAGCCTGCATTTTCTTATCAGTGTGATAGATAAAGCAAGAATTTCCACCTGACTCATTACTATAAGGCAGTGGTTCTCAATCTTGGCTGCACATTAGAATCACCTGGGAATCTTTTTAAAATCCTGATTTCTGGGCCTCATCTTCAGTAGTTTAAAAAGATTCCCAGGTGATTCTAATGTGCAGCCAAGGTTGAGAACCACGGCTATAAGGTCTGGTAACACACAGATTCTCAATAATTAATGATTAATGTGGTGTTTAAGAGCAAGTTAGGCAATGTGCTGAAATGTGTTAATATGTTCAATAATTTACAATTTGTCAACAAATAATGTGTCTCAAATCTCTTTCTCAGAAAATAACCAATTTTTATTATTTTTTTTTTTACCACACTTTGTACCATTTCTTTTTTTTTTTCTAAACATGATTGGGAGCAGAAGTAGGGAGTAAACATTAGTCTTCTATTGCTGTGTTAAAAGCAGGAGGAATTGCAGAGTTTATTTCTTGAACTGAATATTTAAAATTTTGGGATAAATAGATAACTTAACAATTTTTTTTTAGAATACACTTAAACTGAAATACCCAATCCAGAAGCTGTTAAGTTTAAATAAACAGGTAAAATGAAATAGTTCTCCTGTGAAGAGTTAGATGGTTTCCAATGTTTATTTCGTAGGAGAGTGGGTCATGGGAAGTGATGGTGGAAACTATCCCAAGCCTTGACTTCTCAGCAGGTATGAGAGGACATTCTTAGATGGTTTTTGTATGGACAACACATCAGAAACAATGCCTGATAAACAACCACTATTAGATTTTATAGTTATTCCTAACAGTTGGTGATGAATTGAATTATTCTATACCACGCAGCTTTGTACTATCTTTGGAATATTAAGTATTATTAAAAACAAAAATAATCAGAGTCAATCTTTCAGGATTTAAGTTGTCTATAAATTAAAGATCAGTAGGCAGAAATTTAAAGAGAAATCAGGCCCAGGGAAAATGAGTGCCTTTGTCATCTTTAACTATGTGGGCTCTTGTTTGAGCTGCGCCATGCCCACTTCATATTGAGGATCAAAAGCCTACAAAATGCCAAGATGATTTACCACCACCCCTTCCTCCTGAAGTAGAGCCTTTAAAGCCTGTAATACCCAAGGCCCCAATTCTCCTCCTCCGTTGTGGGAAGGCTCATCAGCTAGTAAAAATGGGGCTAACAGTCGGTTTACAAAAGGACTCTTTAATGTGTCTGAATGTTACCATTTGATGCCTTGTGACTGGAAGATGTTAGCCAAACCAACTCTGGAAACCAGTCAATATTTGCTATGGAGGGCTGAATATGATGAGATCTGTAAACAACAGGCTATTTGTGGATGTTCATTGCGACTCCATCTGGGAGTGGGAGCCCTCTGGGGCACATCTGGCTGTAAGTCCCGGGCAATTTAAAACATCTTCTGGTGAGGTTGTGACGGCCCCGGTGAGGTTGAAATGGCCCCTGTGAGGTCTAGACAGCACTGGTGAGGTCAAGACTGCCCCGGTGAGGTCAAGAGGGCCCCGGTGAGGTCGAGGCGGCCCCAGTGAGGCTGAAACGGCCCCAGTGAGGTTGAATCGGCCCTGGTGAGGTTGAGACGGCCCTAGTGAGGCCGGGATGGCCACGGGGAGGTTGAGATGGCCCAGGTGAGGTTGAGACGGCCATGGTGAGGTTGACACCGCCCCAGTGAGATTGAGACGGTACTGGTGAGGTCCAGATGGCCCTGGTGAGGTCAAGACGTCACTGGTGAGGTCAAAACGGCCCTGGTGTGGCTGAAACGGCCCCGATGAGGTTGAATCGGCCTCGGTGAGGTTGAAACAGCCCCAGTGAGGCTGAAACGGCCCTGGTGAGGTTGAGACGGCCCCTGTTAGGTTGAGACGGCCTCTGTGAGGCTGAGATGATCCCGGTGAGGCTGAGACAGCCCCGGTGATCTTGAGACGGCCCCAGTGAGGTTGAATTGGACTCAGTGAGCTTGAGACGGCCCCGGTGAGGTTGAATCGGCCTTGGTGAGGTTGAGATGGCCCCGGTGAGGCTGAGTGGGGAAAACCCAACTATGGGGGCCAAGGAGCAGTTCACCTGGACCAGACTGCAACAAGGGTTCAAGAACTCCCCGACTCTTTTTAGCAGAGCACTAGCATCTAATCTGTCCATATTCCTAGAATAGGACTTGGGGTGTGTTCTACTCCAACATGTAGATGATCTCCTACTGACTAACACCATGAGAGGTCAGTGCTGGGATGGAATGCGAGCCCTTCTGAGAATCTTAACTGAAACAGGTTACAGGTGTCCAAGAAAAAGCACCAATCTGTCAGAGAGAAGTCAAGTACCTAGGTTTCTGATTCACCCAAGGGAAACGAAGTCTAGAGACTGAAAGGAATGCAGGCAGTATGAGCTATTCCAGTCCCCAGCACCCATTGGCAGATTCGGGAATTCCTGGGAGCAGCAGGATATTGTCACCAAAAAGAGGACTCAGTGTCAGAAGGAAACTGTCATGCAGACACAGCAGCCAAGCTGGGTGCTAAAGAACAACTAGCACCATCACAGACCATGTTGGCCCCTGAATTATCTGAACTTCTGTAATACACTCCTCAGGAAGAGGAATGGGCCCGGCAAGAAGAATCCTTTAAGTTCCAAATGGTACTATAAGCCAGGACCCTGCACTACGATGATCCTCTTGGGAAGATGATGCAGATGATGAAGACTCGGCATGCTGAACCCCCTTTATCTCAATGACCCCCTTCAGCCAGAAGCAGCTAGAGCAGTCATCATCCATACCCCAATTTCTGAGTCTATTATCCCCAAGCCTAAGGTTAGCTTGAGGATCAAGGCAGGAGAGGGGTGGGATGAGAAAGGATATAGAAAGACTAGCAACCAGACTCTGTTTGTTAATCAGTATCCTAGTGTATATTCTTGGTAGCCTATGATTAAGTCACTGCCCTTTCTTAGCAATCTGGTCTTGCAAGACCTATTTTCCTAATTACTCCCTATTTACAAAGGGCCATAAACAAAGAATGTAACAGCTTAGCTAGAGGCACTACCCAGAGCAGGCATTTAGATACAATCTAACTTCTCCATTCTAACTGACTCAGGAGGGGCTGTGAAGCCCGCCACAAAAACCTGGTAGTTAGGAAACATAGAAAACAAACAAACCTAGGAATATATATATTGGGCAATCTCATTGTATCACTTGTTCAGGCTTTGGATCTTTGTATCCCCTAAGCCAGCAGCGTTGCTCAATTAAAGGTCCATCCTGATTAAAAAAATAATAATAATAAAAATAAAAAAATAAAACATCTTTTGAAAGATCCATGAAAAGAACTCTGACTTATTAAGTCTCTCTCTGTGATATGTGTGCCTGTAAATATCATATATAAGATGGTTATTTT